CCCCGCATTCACTCTCGCCCCTGCCCCCGCGTTCACGCTCGCCCCCACACTTGCTTGTTAACATCTTTCCTACTTACTTTGAATTCGTTAAATTATATTTTAGGTTCTGCTGTGATCTAATTTTTTCTTAAGATTTTTTTCTTTTAGTTTATGTGTATGTGTGTGTTTGCCTTCATGTGTGTCTGTGCACCACAGAGTGCCTTCCTGTGTGTCTGTGCACCACAGAGTGCCTGGTGCACAGACCATAGAGGCCAGAGAGCGTTAAATTCCCTGGAACTGGAGTTATAGAAGGAGGTGTAGGCCTCCATGTAGATGCTGGGAATTGAATCCTTGACTTCTGGAAGATCAGTCAGTGCTCCTAACCACTGAACCATCTCTCCAGCCCCCTAATTTTCTCTTCAAAGATGATGTGTATATATGACGTAAAATTATCAAGTTAGTCTCTCTTCCGCCCCCCTCCTCTGAAATGGGCTCTCGCTCTGAAGCCTGGATCGGCCTGGAACTCACTATTGTAGCTCAGGTTGGCCTTGGACTCAGAGCAGTGTCCTGAGTCCTCCTTTCACTATGCCTGATTTCAGTTTGTCGTTACCTCTCAGAAACCAAACAGCAGAAATAAGGATAAGTGTGGGGTGGGCAGTGTGTATGAATGGATATGGCGTCCATGCATGAAAATCTGAATCACATGCTTAGACTCAGTATGACCTGGACATCAGGAATTGTTCCTGGGAAATGCCAAAGGACCTCTGTTGGTGAATGTGCTCAGAGGTTACCTGGTGAGTCCGAGTGGCCCTGTGGACCTAGGCGTCAGGTTCTGTGCTTGACACTGGACTTAACCAGAAGGGAGGCTTAGCCTCAGCTCTAAAAGAATTTACATATGGTGAAGGAGAGAGATGAAACATCCAGATCTGACTCATGGGAATGTGCTGAGAGTCCCCGGAACACCAAGAAGGTAGCTAACCCTAACCTGACCCCAAATGATTACAGTTTCTCCTGCTGCTCAGCTCTGTCTTAGTTTTTGTCTGGGTGTATCTGCACCCGCCCACAGTAGCCACACAAGCCCCAAACCAAAGCCGTATTCCTCCTGCTTACCTCCCGCCCCGCCCCCAATGGAGCTTGTGTTTGCCCACTTCCTCTATTGGATTGCCTTAGATGGAGTCTTGTAGGTCTCGCTGACATGTTGGAACCTGCTCTTGTATGTCAGTTGTGATTGTGACATACACTGTTGGCATTCATACTACTCTGTGGAGCCACGCTCCTTGCTCACCGCTGGTGGTGTGCCGAGAGGCTGGGGCATTGCAATTTTCAGCTGGAAAAACTGCAATTTTCCCTTTTCTATACCATTCTGAGATTCACCTCCTACGAGTTCAGGTGTTTGCTTCTCTGCATACTCTGCAAATAGCCTTCCTTTTGAAACGTCTCCTGACTCTGCAGTCAGAAGAGCTGCGTCGGCCTTTGACAGTGCTTGGCATCTTGGAGGACAGACAGACCGACTTCTGCAGTGTCAATGTTATCTTTTCTGTGCATGGCTGGCTGCCTCTCAGCTGAAAACCCAGGAAAGGCCAGGTCAGGTTACCTGACGTTTGCTGTCTTCCGTGGGATCTGGGAGATCATCAGAACTGTTCATAGCATCCTGGCTAGAAAACCAGTGGATGACTCAGTCTGTTCTCTGGAAGCCATCTACAGAACAGGACAGACCAGTAAAGGAACTTGCCTGTTAAAGAGCCAGTGAAACTGCTGTGTAAGCCTAGGGTCATGACCACAGCTTCTTGATTATATGCTGTGGACGAGAGTTTGCTTCAAGGACTGGGACAGAAGCGAGTCAGAGGTTTGAGTGTTAGAGTGTGTAGTTGTGTTCACATTGAGAGAATTAGTAGGTTGGGAAGAGGAGCCAGTGTATGAACTCGAGCATCGGTTCTCAGCCTGGGGGTCCACCGACCCCTTCACAGGAGTCACCTAAGACCATTGGAAAACACAGATATTTACATTATGATTCCTAACAGTAGCAACATTACAGTTAGGAAGTAGCAACGAAAAAATAACTTTGTGGTTGGGGGTCCGCGCAGCATGAGGAACCGTATTAAAGGGTCGCAGCATTAGGAAGCTTGAGGACCACTGCCCTAGAAGAACATCACATCTGACTCCTCAGGAGTAAGCATCTCTTGGTTCGGTTGAGGTGTGAGACCTGTGATGCTTTGAAAATCATCCAGTTGAGGCAGGAGCCAGATTATGAGGACTGAAGGAAGACGAGGAGGAACCAGAGGTGTCCGGAGATGGCCGCCACTACTTTCAAAAGCTAGAGAAGAGAATGGGAAATAGGCAATAATAACATTGGGTATTAAGCAGAGTCCTAGGTGTGGGTGTGGGGCATGGAAACTACACATCAATTCCTCAGAAATTATTACTGACATGGTAGTCACTGAGATCAAGTTTCATTCATTCATTCACTTACCCACTCATTCATTCACTCACTTAGTAGCTACATTCCAAGCAGCCTGGCTCCTTCTCCGTTTTAGTCACATGCGCTCGGTGTGGCAGCAGCACTGTTACTGTGAGTCTTCGGGTGTCACAGATGGGGCTTGAGCTGAGGACACCAGGGGTGATAAATGTGGCCCTTTCTTCCTTTAGTTAGAGGTAGAGTCCAAGTTTCTTTCCTTCCTTTCCAAGGGGAGGTTGCAGGCTTAATGTCAAATGACTCCAGTCGTGTGTCCCAGAGGTCACGGGGTCTTAGGGCTGTGAGTTTTAAGAACTGTTATTTAACCATATGTCTCTCTCTCTCTCTCTTTTATGGCCACAACAGGTGGAGTGGAGCCCCAAGCTTTTAGAGATCCCACCTCAAACTCGGTTTGATTACAGGGTCACCAATCTGGCTGGTGGCCCAAAGCCTCATTCTCCTTACGACTCTGAATACCACAAGACCACCTTGAAGGTAAGTGACAGTGAAGCCCACTGCAGAGCTCCAGGGAGGCTTCTGGGGCCGAGCTGAGCCGTCCAGTGTCCAACCTCCCTTCTCTTTCTCTATGCTCCGCTTCAGGGTGGCATGTTTGCCGGGCAGCTGACCAAGGTGGGCATGCAGCAGATGTTTGCCCTGGGAGAGAGACTGAGGAAGAATTACGTGGAAGACATTCCTTTCCTTTCTCCTGTCTTCAATCCCCAAGAGGTCTTGTGAGTCACAGGCAAGGGGTTGCTCATTTAAGGTCTCGAGCATGCGTAAACTTTCCTGACCCCCACTCTCATGCTGAGTGGTTTAGGGGACAGATTGCCACAGTGCAGTTACCCTTACGTCCTAAGCTGCTGTGAACAGGTGAAGGTCACGGCCACGGGCCTTCAGGTCCCTGGGGGCGGTCTGTAGAGAGGAAAGGCTTCCTTCCAATGGTGTCCCGTATGCGGTTCCTGCCTGCTCTCTTCCCAGCTGATCTGCGTTCCCTTATGAGCATCTCCGCCTCTGCATGTTCCTTTCCCCCCAGTGTCCGCTCCACCAACATGTTTCGGAATCTGGAATCTACTCGGTGCTTGCTGGCTGGGCTTTTCCAACATCAGAAAGGTTTGTGTTTGGGTCTGAAGGTCTCCGCTGTGCCAGAGGAGCTCTTCCTTCTCATGCCCCACGCCCTTTCTCGGCCTCCATGCCTTTTCTCACAGTCTCTCCTGCACGCGTGACTTCTAGTTGCTCGTACGGCCGGGGGTCCCTCACCATCCATCCTTTGGTTGCCCTTGCCACCCTGACCTCCACTGGGAGCAGGAACTGGGTGGTACCTCCGCCTCCTGACTCCTCGCGCTTCCACACGAGCTGTAGAGGTAACCCCGTCCAGTCTTGGGAGCAGCAGTGAGGCACCCTGAGAAGGGGCCAGGGGCACACACACTCAGCTGGGACTAAAGACGATGTCGTTGCTCTGATCTTGGTGACAACCCTCGGCCCAGCCATGGTTGCGTCAGCCGCGTTCCACTGAGCCTTTCTTAGTTGAGAAAGTCGTTGAGTTTGAGTCTTACCGTATTGAATCGGTGAAGATTACAGTCATCGATTCCAAAGCTCTTCACCCTCGAGGGCTGCATGTCTTCCTCCTTCCTGGGTCCCATGTGAGGCCTGTGTTAGCCACGGTCACACTGCTGTGGCCAAACACCGGACGGAGACAACTCAAGGGAAGAGAGGTTTATTCTGGCTCACGATTTCAGAGCGAGGGGACGCCGCCATGGACAGGAAGCGGGGCTGGTAGATGCAGGGCGGCAGGTACATCCTGCAGAGGCTCCTCGGGGTCTCCATCTCTGGCTGCCCGGGTGTGAGGTGGTGAGTGTTCACATTGTGACAGGCCAGGACGCATGCCGAGCCAAGGGCAGGTGTAGCCTGCAGGGGCCTGACTCCATTAACCTAACCCACAACCAGGCTCCCTCTGTCAACGCTCCACGCGTTCCCACACTTCACCTCCTCTCTAGGGAACAAGTGTTCAAAACAGGAGCCTGTGATTCAAACCACAGTTACAGAGGCAAACCCCAGCCGGGCCTTTGGCCACCAAATGAGGCTACGTCTTTGTCATTGGTAATTGATTCAAATCCACATGTCATCACTCTTCCGAATTCCAGATAAAATCATGACCTAACTGGTATGCTCGAACAGGTATTAGGATACTCATTGCAGCTACAATAGCAAAAATTGTTTTGTTGCTTCTAGAAGTAGCTTAAGTGGAAATAAAGTTTGCATCAAACTTTGAAGGGCAGTAGGACCATCAGGCAGGAGGAGGTTGGCCTTACCCCACAGCTGGTTTGGGGCTGCTCATAACGTGCCTCAGGCTGGCTGGCTGCCTCACACACTGTGTGTCTAGCAAATGAAGCAAACAGGGCAGGCTGCCCCTTTGTGGGAGCCCTCGGGCTTGGACAGGGTCCACAAGGTCTGACCTTCTGAAAGTTCCTCCCTTGCTCACCTCCAAAAAGGCAAATGGCCCTTCCCGGGAGGCAGGTTGCAGACTGAGGATGCCCCAGGTTCTAGCAGGGAGGGCCACAGCGGCTTCGGGTGGTGGCTCCCTGAATTAGTGGAAGCCTGGGGTAGGCCTTCCCTCAGAGAAAATCTGTGCCTTTCTTAGTACCAAGAACTGCAGAAGCTGCTGCCACTCACGGAATAGGGCAGCTGCAGAATGGCTTTGGAGTGGACGGCTGCAGAGCGCCCGAGTTGGCTTGGTGTGAAGCTGGAGGGCAGCAGGCTGTAGGGACGCTGGAGGTTGTCCACCTGTCGTCACTTGTCAGCCATCACAACGTTGACTGTAGATAGTGTCTTCTCAGATATGCCTTATTGGCCACCAGCTGTAGTCCGGTGTCCTCCCGTCAGGAGCAGACGACAGACGGACATGGGTTTGTAGTGTTACGTTAGAGGTTTCCATCATGGTTGTTGTCAGCACACAAAGCGCTGTTCTGAGGACTCTGCATCTATTGTGGGGCAGACACCATCGGCTCCTTTTACAGATAGGAGAAGTAATGCAGAGCGAGGCTGAGGAGCTTGCCCAGGAGCCCAGATCTGGAGAGGATGTAGGTGGGATTCAACTGGCCTGGCTTTAAAATCCACATCCGTCACCTTCGCCAGCTGCTTCTCTGAGGATCTGCACATCTGGGACATCTAGGCAGGGTCTTTGATAGTTTTGTCTGGTCTCTGTTTTTCAGTTTACTTATGTGTGTTTCTGTTTGGTGCACGTGTGCCATGATACATGTGTGGAGACCAGAGGATAACTTATAGAACTCCTTTCTCCTTCCATGCTGTGGGCCCTCGGAGGACTGAACTCGGGTTGTCAGGGTTGGTGACAAGTGCCTTTAACCACTGAGCATTCTCACAAATGGTGGGGGGGGGGTGCGCGCGCGTGTGTGTGTGTGTGTGTGTGTGTGTGTGTGTGTGTGTGTGTGTGTGTGTG